AGCAGCCCACACCCCCTAAGACCTCCCAGCCAGAGAACCCGGAAACAAGGTCATGAATCACTTTTCAATCTCGTTCACCCTCATCCCGACCCATCCATCACAGACCCCCCAAAAAAGAGAAACCAGGAAAGTATGACTAGTAGTACAACTTCCATGACACACATCGAATAGATATACACCTTACGCCTTTACCCTTTCCCCACCCAAGAGAAGGACATAAGTAGAAAGGAAAAAGAGTGAGAGAGAAAGAAGAAAATTCCATACATTCTATTTCTCACACCAGAACCGAGAGAATAAACAACGCTCACCCCCAGAAGGAGAGAAAAAAGAAAAAAGGGGGCTCAAAATCCAAATACCACCATCCCATAAACACCGTCCCACCCGAAAAAAAAAGACAATGCAAAAAAAAAGAACCAGTATAAAAAAAGACCGAGGAAGAATAATAGTGAAGGTGATGGGGGGAATTTCATAATATACAAGTTTTTTGCTCCCCTCTTTTTTCATCTTGCAAAATTTCCTTTTTTTTTTCTCGCTTTTTCTCGTAATCACTGAACCTTGACCTCATCAGCCTCCTTCAGGAACTCCGCTCCTTTCTTCGTCCTCGCATATTTTGTCGAGGTATCACCGGTAAAAATGGTCCCTAGTATACGGTCCCAGAAAGTGAAAAAGGGCTGTGAGAAATTCGTCTTGATGCCCCACGTTTGATGATGGATATCATGGTATGCGGCATTGTTGCCAGTGATATGTTGTAGAGGATCCCAAGGGAATGCGTAGCCACAGTGGTCGTCGACAGTCTTGAAAGTTGAGCCTACGAAGAAGGCAATACCTTGACGAGCTGTGAGACCAGCGACTTTGTACGCGAGCGAAGCACCGACTGTATCGAGGAGGAAGCCCTCAAATGGGTGGTTGTAGAGGGCGCCAAAGGCGTAAGGTACATAGAGACGATGGTGACGAGAGTGGAAAGTTGCTGATAATGTTAGGGTTGTAATTGTGGAAGAGATGATAAGAACTCACTATAAAGCCATTTGTTTACATGCATTGCCCGGTGAAGGAAGTATTGCCATGTATCAACAATCACAATTGCTAATGCAAACTGACATATGGGCACAATGTACCAATAAATGGCCTTTGCGACCACCATCTCCCAATTAGTAAACGCAGGAACCGCAGCTCCTCCCGCAGCATCCAAACTCATGGTCAATGGGTAGTATCCACCTGCTAGCACTCCGGCAATCATCGGATGAGAACCGGAGACATTTTTCGAGATGGCGGCAGCATTCAGTCCCATCAAACCCAACAATTTTGGCAGAGCTCTCTGTGCAATTCGTAGTCTCGCAGCCCATTGCGCAATATCATAATCCTGTTTCCCAGCCATATCCGGATCCTCGGTCAGGGCGAGAAGTGAAGCCGTTGCGGTCTGAATAACCTGTTGTATAATGACGTCGCGTGCCACTTCATATCGTGATACATGATTTCTCTTCAGAATCTCGGTGGGTGTGTGCAGTCGATATTGCGGCCAGATATCGTAGACGTCGATGACGTGGAAGAACATCGACAAGACCCAGTATGCGGCAATTGGGAGTATTAATGAGAGGTAGAAGTCGGGGATGAAGGAGACGAGCGGCTCTACGGGCCTGAGAGTGTAGGCTGGGAGGGGCGGTAGATGGTACATGGCAGATGCATTGATAGGGGCAGACATGTTGGCCATGATGATGTGTTGGTGCAAGTAATTGATTGACTGCAGTTATCGTGTTGCGCACGAAGGAGAGTTGTCGGAATCGGGGATTTGCTCAGACGTCCGGGATGTAGGTATGAAATATGAAATATGGGAGGAAGTCCCGACGATGTCGAAGTCGAAGTCGCGCCACAAGTCAAGTCAGCAGCAGCGGCGGCAGTACGGTACGGTAGCAGCAGCACAGCAGCACTACAGTAGGCCAAGCCAGCAGTCTGGACGTCTATCAATCTCGTTTAAACTTTTTTCCATCCACCAGCAGCCGTCATTCCCGAGTGATCGTCCCAGCGCCGTCTCCGTATCCGTATCGGACGGCTTTGTCACCAGAGGCGCATGAGACTGGGAAATTATCGGATTTTGGCCGCTGTATTTAGGACTTACGGAGAAGAGACGGTTACTACTACTGAGAAGGGTGCACTGGTGGGTGCAAGAGCAGATTGAAGAGGGCAGAGTGCTTCGCCTACGGGAACTATCTCCTGGTGCGGAGGGGTGAAGTCGGAGGGACGGAGTACGAGCTACGAGGCACGCAAAGTCGGAGACTGATGATGGAGAAGCTACTCTATACTGCTACTGCGTAGAATGCGAATGTACTGTACGCACTGTACATGTGAAAGTGAAAGCTGGATGTTGCTGGTGCTGCAGAAGAGTGTCTATTTGCAATTTACCTTTACTCGTCGGTCTCCAACTGCCAGTACGAAGTAGTGAGTGAATGGTCAGGTCACTAGCCACCTGCACATCTGATGATCCCAAGCCAGGCCATGGCGTGGCGTCACCAAGAAGTTCCAAGTTGGACCCTTACTCGCCAGGCTGCTATCCAGGCAGGCATGCATATACACGTGATTTTTGAGATGCCTTCACCGCTTGGAATCACGACCAATTAGAGCCGCTCTGCCCCGAGCTCTGTATACGAGTGGCTTAGCGCCACGACCCCTCCATTCAGAGTCCATTTTTTCCCAAGTGCAGCCCACTACAAACTTTCCCTGTCGCATTGTCGCAGAATTTCATCTCGATCTTTGCATTCCCAGTCTCTTCTTCTTTTCATCCCCATTTTCCACAAAATACCGTCAATATGATCATTTACAAGGTCAGTCATACCTTCTTCCTGTCTGCGGATGAAGAGGCGACACGACCCCGCTTCAACACACCACCATGTCTTCCATTACAACCCCCACCACAGCAAATGCGAAAACAGGTGGGGTACCATGAATGAGGATGGGATTGCTGACTTGAGATGGTTCACAGGATATCATCACTGGTGACGAGATCATCTCCGACTCCTACGATTTGATCGAGGTTGATGGAGCTGTCTACGAGATTGACTGCCAAATGATCACCGAGGGTGGCGTTGCTATTGGTACGTGAAACCCCTCATTTTCGGCATTTGCTCCATTCTAACCCATCCATACAGACACTGGTGCCAACGCTTCCGCCGAGGAGGCTCAAGAGGATCTTGAGGATGGTGTGGTTCAAGTCAACAATGTTGTGAACTCTTTCCGTCTCCAATCCACACAATTCGACAAGAAGTCCTACCTCAGCCATCTTAAAAGTACATCTCCAACCCATCCGATACAGCGATCCACGGGCTAACAAGTTTGATAGCATACATGAAGAAGGTCAAGGAGGCTTTGAAGGCCAATGGATCTGACGAGGCTGTCATCACCGCATTCGAGAAGGGTGCTCAAGCATATGCCAAGAAGATTGTTGGCAACTTCAAGGACTACGACTTCTATGTTGGCGAGTCCATGGACCCTGATGGAATGTGAGTTCACAAAATACTTCTGTACAATTTAAGATCAATACTAATACACTTGTAGGGTCGTTCTTATGAACTACCGCGAGGATGGAGTTACCCCATTTGTTACTGTCTGGAAGCACGGTCTCGTTGGACAGAAGGTTTAGGAGGTTGAATTTTGTCAGAAGCTAGCGCAGCATTCCCTGCATATTTCCTCCATAAAGACATGAGATATTGACACCCCCTCTTTCCAATATCATCATGCCTTCTCCATTTTATTATTTCCTTTGTCAAAATTAGTACCCTGGATCTCTGAATACATACCACATTTCTTCATGACAGTTCTGTTCTTGTGAAAGTAAATTAGAAATCGCAACTAATTGTGATGGATTTCACAAATACCAATCTACAAAAGCTTCCATGTCTCAGAGGTAGTTTCGACGAATGCCCTTTTCCAGATATCAACACATCACAAAAACATTAGAAGCCCCCCAAACCATACCATGCCTAACTTCCCGTATAAATTCCACTCAATCATAGTTTTCTCATTCCAGTCCAGTTTCCAACAAAAGAACTCAATAAATGTTAAACACTAATGAAAAAGAAAATGATAGTATCAAGTTCCATGTACTGTACTCGGTACATCGGGGATATCTCATCTCCTCTCAAGAGTACAGTTCTTACTTTGTGAGAGAGTGGTTCGTGGTTCGTGAGTGGGTGTTTGTAGGTAGGTGAGATGGTGAGATAATGGGAGGGTATTTTTAAGGGTGTTGGGGATACTAGGAATACCCGGTATACAAAATTTGAACAAAATTCGCGTTATACTATTCATGTATTGTAGTAAGATTACTTGGGTTTGTATGAGGTATGTAGAGGAGAGGAGGGGAGGAGTAGGTTGCGTGGGAAATGAATTGAGTTGAGTTGGTTTGGGATGAGTAGTGATTGAAGTATTGATGTGGAATCGAATATTGAAGGAGATAGAAGATCTTTTGAGGAAGTAGATTAGCTATTAAGGAGGGTTTCTATAGCTAGTTTTTCTGTGGAGTGATGATTGAACTTGTAGTATACGAAGGAGAGACTCAGAGGGTACAAATGAGAAGATTGGTGTTTGGTTGTTCAGGAGGGGTGTAGAAGTGGATCTGTCTCAGTGGGGTGAGCAAGAATTCGTAGGTGATGCGGTGGGAAGTTGGAGCTCTTGGTTTAGCTGTGGCGCGTAAGTTTGAAAGTTTGGAGGAGCTATTATGGGAGGCTTCAATGGCTAAGTGAATTACTTAGTCGGATTGCTTAAGTAGCGAAGTATATTTGCCTCCGCCACAGCAGGGTGTGTGAGAATCCGTATCTGGATATTAGTAGGAAAAAATCACTTTCTAGATCTAGCTATTTCGCTTGAGTGCAAGAATAGAACAGATCATTGTGTAAGGCTTCAATGGCTAAGTATAGCCTCGAATGAGTGCATCTCCTCTCAGCTCCATTAATCAAAAACATCATTTCTCGATTGATGAAAATTAAGCGAGTAAATTGAAACTGCGACCGTTAACAACAATCATCAATAAAAAAATTCATCAGACCTCCATCAAGTGAAGGTAGCTCCCATGTGCGAACGTACCTAGTATCATTGTATACTGAATGTGTGTTTTGAGAAAAGTCTGAGGCCGCAAGATGATTGTGAGGGAAGGTGCGATTCAAGTGTTTGGGCACGAGGCTGGGATTGCCTTTCGAGAAAGCGATGCCTATAAATTTTTTGGTTGGGCAACTACCTAGCTTGACGAGGAGGCTGAAACGTAAAGTTTGCTCAACTAGGAAAGAACCAATAGTAGAGGTTGCCTTGTGACGCTAATTTGGTTGCTTCGACCAACGTATGCAGCCTCCCGAGGCAACCACTACCGTGAGTGAGTATTGACTTCTCGACATCCATGCCTTCCATAAATCAAGGTAGCTGGAGGGTAGGTCAACCTCGAGACTAACCAAACTACCCAAACCTCACCACCACCATGGTACCTCCACATCGACTTCGCGCGCCATCGTGAGTTTATTACTTTGAGCTCAATCTATAAGAACACTCAAGACTGACAATACATGTAGGCCTGAGCGATTGTTTGCGAGAGTATGGGCAGAGGAAGGCTTTGGCTTCCCAACCAGACCTGAGCCTCAACCACCACGTGCACTTACGCCTACAGGCCCATTGATTGACATTGGTGACGATGATCAACCAACTACTCTAGTAGCTTCAAGTCCAGCCCCTGGCTCAATCTCTCACCCAGGTCATTCGAACGCTGGAGCCACGGCTTCACCTTCACTCACACGACCTGCAACGTCTCGCGGCCCAAGTAAGTGTTTGTTCAATTGACTCTCTGGGCAATGCTGATATGATTGTAGCTATTGCAGCTACTCCCCCATCAGGAAGGGTTGGTAACAGTTCTAATACTGAAATACGGCAAACTGTACAAAATGGAGCTTCCCAAGCACCCCGCCGTGGAGTTCCTGATAGCACAATTGGCCAAGCTCCTCGATCTCAACGGCAAGGCGGTCCTATCGACATAAGTCCCCAACAAGGACCACGCCCAGGCTCATCAACAAGAGCCCGATATGGTTCTGAACACGCTCGTGAGCCCGTTGGAAAGAAGAACTTCCCAAAACCCCTTCCTCTGATTACAACTCGACAAGCCACTACAGCCAACCTGGAGAAAGAGAAGAAGGAGAGGGCAGAGGTCTATCTTGGCCAGCCTAGTAATAGCTCAATGTGTGGCGTTGAAGTATGTATGTATCGCTGTCATCAATTTAACTTGCTAACATTCCACAGGGCATATATGTGTGGAAAGACAGAGCGCATCGTCCAACCCAATTACTAGGCTTCACGTTGGAAGACCTCAACCACATTAGATTGCAGTACAAAGTTTGGATCCGTTGGAATGAGGATTTGAGTTCGGTGGTAATTATGTCAAAAGCAGGCCCAGGGGCTGAAAATAACGTTCTCGCGGCCCTTGATGCTGTTCGACAAGACTACGCAAATGCCAAAGCAAGAATCAGAACAGCTGCACCTGTTTACATCATGGTCCCTCCAAGCTTCCATGCCATCCGCTCATTCCTTAAACCAGTCACATATGAACCTGGTCTGACGATGATTGAGCTATATGGACAACCATATGTCGGACAGAACATAGCCGTTTGGAACAGAGAGCGTACCTCGATGGTAAATAGTGGCAAAGAGAACATCAAGAATCACCTGGCAAAGCACATACAAGCAATGGCCGTAATGAAGGGATGGATGAGAATGCGAGTTCACTTTGGACATCTCAACTTTACAAGTTTCCCGAAAGAATTTCTCCAGGGAAGGTGTGATTTTAAGGGTTTCATAGAGCTTCTTGAAAACCCCCGCATACAAGCTGGTAGGAGCTCACAAATCAACCCCACCCAATACAATATACAGGGCTAATGTTTTCCAGGTGCCAAATTTGACAGAAAGTGAGTCAAACCAAAAGAAGAATCCGTTGATCGTATCACGCTAACTAAACCTCACCCACAGACTGCTCAATCCTCTATCTGCCTTGAAGTTGAAGGGCGAAATCGAAGCGATGCCGGCTTTCTGCTCTGTATTCGGCCCTGCTACGAGTGCAAAGGAGGCCACGTTTAAAGAGTCAGTTTGCCTCTTCTTCGACACATCCCAGGGAATTCCCGTTAGACTCGAGATGGACGTAGACCACAGTGAAGTTGGAGGTTACCAACCGGGATCGATCCAATGCTTTCGTAACAATCGGAGAAACAAGCACTTGGAAATTCTCCAATGTGATATTGAGAAGTAAGGATTCTAAAACCAGCGCTACCTGAAAACTAAAGTGCTAACCACGGGCTGTACAGGAAAATTGATTGGTCTCTAGAGCTCATTACTGACAACAAAATCAAGGACCCTGAACCCGGATGGGAGGACTTCATCAGCCATAGCATTATAGGTAGCCGCCGGCAAGATTCCCTTGGACTTCCATATCCTGGCATCATGATGAGATATGATGATAAGATTCACGTTTATCTTGCGGTAACACGAAGCAAGATTTCATACATGTTGGCGGAATCTGGCTATCACATTGACATTACGATATATCGAGAATGGGCTTCTCGATCTCGTGAGTCTCCCAACACTATCCCGGAGCCGGTCATCAAAGCAGGTGTGACGATGTACCATCCAGATTGGGACCATGAAATGATGTCAATTGAGGAGACTACAAACCAGCGATCATGGGATCCCGAACTAAGCCAAATCTTTGGCAAGGGCGAGACCAAGTACCATGGAATCGATCACTTCCTCGCCGAAGTTGAAAAGGTTGTGGGGCTTTTGAGTAATATATCTCGTGAGGACTTTGATGCTTTGAAGACTCCCTCCTCTTGAGAACCCCAAAGTTCCGGTAAAGCCAGACGTTCTGGTTCGCCATCGTCTACACCTGCTCAACCGCGTGTGGTATTCAAATCGTCTTGCGCGCAAATGAGCGTTCTACAGAGCAACATAGGATTTTCCAGTAGAAGTTGGCCAGCCAGCCAAAGATGCTTCTTACGGAAATGACAAGAGACCAGCATGGATTTATGCGTGCCTGTTTATTGCGCGTCGATTTCTCTTTCATGTACATTTGCTTTCTGGCAGATATCATGATGCAGAGGCAGAAGCCGCTGCATTTTGTGCCATAACTTTCTGACGTAGTACTAAAACATGTTGTCAGCACTTGCGTATTGAGTTTGATGATCCGTGAAACAAACCATCTTCAATAAGTCGTAAGCCATCAGTCTTTTCTTGGATGATCTTCTCCAGGGCCTTCAGATTGGTTCCAAGCTCATCGACCTTGCCGTTATAGAACTTATTCGCATCCTTCGTGCTCTATAATTCCCATCAATTCATGTCCCTCCCGGATGGGAACCCACAGATACACACACCTTCTCCACGTAAAACCCCGTGCCCACATCCACAATCACATTCTCCGTATCTGCCAACGTACCCGGGACGTAGAGCGAGGCCGTGAGCGGTACCAAAATCGGTTTTCCTACATTCCCATACCGTATCAGCATTTCATTCTCTTATTCCCTCATCCACCAATATCCCCATATCCTCATATCCTCATATCCTCATATCCTCATATCCTCATATCCTCATATCCTCATATCCTCATATCCTCATATCCTCCAGATCCTTTCCCCCAGTGCAAAGTGCGAAGTAAGCAACATACCTTCCACCTTCCCACTCACCCCGCCCGCGATACTCCGTAGACACTCCCTGAACCGCGCCTGGGCGGCGCGCAGCTGCGTGAAGGAGTTTGTGAGGTGGGTAAGTTCGTCTTCGAATTGCTTTTTTACTTGGGAGAGTTGTTGGGTGGAGAGGGCGGTTATGTCGACTGGTTTTTTTGGGTTGTTGTTAGTACTTTCTTTTTGGGGAGCTTTGGAGGGGTGGAGGGGTCGGGTCGTGAGGAATGTTGGGGATAGGGGGTATGAGGATGGGGGATTGGGGGGTGGAAGTACCTCCTTGGCCTTTTGGGGATGACATTTTGGGGGGAGGGGGGTTTGTGTGGTGGTGGGAGGGTGGGAGAGTGCTGGTGATGAGATTGTACCAGTAGAGCTTGTCTTGAGCTCTGGAAATCTCCAGCGCGGGCCTGTGGTTGTGGTCACGTGCGGAAGAGGGGAATAAAAGAGCTGGGTAGACTTCGAGATTTGATGTATGTTTAGTGAAGTATTCGAGATTTGGACTGAATATTGTAAACCAGGGATGGTTGCATTTACTTGAGGTATGGTTTAGGATATTTCGGGGTTTTGGGAAGTACTCTTATGTTTTGACTTGTGCTTGAATTGGTTAATTGTGATGGAAGTCTGGTGATGGCATGGTTGTTTTATGAACTTGTAGTTATATTTGTGTATCTAGACTATATTTAACTACCTAGGTAGTACTTGATAAGTTTGAGAATTTGTAGTATGGTGATTTTGGAAAGATATTGTTTAGAAAACATAAGCGAAGGATTTGTCACATTAGCAGAAATATATTAAAAGATATCCTCCTAAGCGAAGCGGGAAAGAACAGAGGTTAGTGAAATGTGAGTGTCTGAGATTCATAGTTCATACCTAAGTAATCAATATTAAAACTAGTGGACAAAACAGACTATAAGGTCATTATTGTATATTGATTTGTTGTATCTAATAGCGACTCGAGCTCTATTCAACAGCGCACTTGATTCCCTCATTCGACATCAAGATTCTATTTCCTGTGAAAAGGAGAAACACTGAATACTAATGATACTCCAAGTTTCAGATAATCACAAACGCCAATACCCAAAAGAAAACTGGTATCTCCCGCACTCCCACCACAACCATAAAACTCCTCGAAATCCACCCATATAGTAAACCCCACAAGCCACAGAAAGGAAGCCAATTAATCCAACCACGAATTTACTCGAATTGCCCACTAACCTCTAGACCAGTCCGACCACACAACCCGTCATCATCTTCAGCCCAAGTCCCCATTCCACACATAACATCTGATCCATGTCCAATATAACTCATTTCCTCACCACTTCCAGAGCTCCTCATACTCTTCTTACTCCCACTCTTGCTACTCAAACAAGCCATTATAGAACTTTGGACATCTATATGATCATCTCGAGGTGAGAGGCTAGGAGGGGTGACTGTATTCTCTCCACACTCCTGTCCGAGGTCAACGAGGAATCGTCGCATTTGGTATGACATATAAGCCCCAGAAACGGACGAACGACTATCTCGACGCTCGCTCTGGCCACATTCAGGGCCAACAGGAGGAAAGTTGGCAGTGAGATCTATATCAGGTTCCTCATTCTCTGGCCCTTCTGGACTAGGAACGCTCAGTGCGGAAGACGCGTATGAATCAGGTCGAGGAATCAGTCTGAATGATTGCTGTCCCTCTCCACCGTTACTGACCATTGCCGCCTCGACACAGCTGCAGTTGTCGTCGTTGAAGATGGGTGGTCGGTCGGCGGAGATGGTTTTGTAGCAGAGGAGACAGGTGAACTCCTCGTAGCCGAGGGAGTTGTTGTTGGAGTTTTGTTGGTTTTGGTGATGGGACATGACGTTGCGATTGAGGAAGGGACGGAATGAAAAATGCCTGGATGTGTCAGTGTTGTACTGGTCTATTGGTAGAGTACATACTTACATCAGTACAGGGTGTGATTGGGCAAGGATAGTGAGAATAAGTACAGAAGACAGGGTGATGGCTGGGGAAAAGATCCCTCTTGGGTATATGAGGGGAAATAAAGACAAGACTTTTGAGGCTGCGGTATGTGGACGCCACTTGAACGGGATTGGTACAGTTGGTATACAGGACCAAAGTTTAGAGTTAGAATGATATGAGGCTACAGCTTGAATTGAAAGTTGGAAATGAGAATGAAGCGTAACAGATGCAGAAATTATGAAGCGAAAGTATTCTCTTATACCCCTTGTCTTCTCCTAGCTTCCTTGGGTGGTGATAGCAGTAGGAAACGAATACTTCTTGTCTAGTGACCACGTTGACGTTCCCAAAGCTGGGTGAGGTCTAAGAGAAGAATAATGGTTCGCATCCAGTCCGACAACCGGACTTGAGATGTACGCGAGACTCTACGCCCAACGGTGCGGAGAGAGGTTCCGGGTTCCGGGTTCCGGGTTCAAGCTTCAAGCTCTATCGAACCAGAACGTGGGAGTTTTGGAGAAGCATTTACCAATCGGTTCGATTTCCGTAGCCTCATTTATGAAAACCACCCAACGCAGCTTGCAAATTTGTTGAGGAATGACTTTGTGACAGCTTGCCCGCAGAAACCTGCATCATCGAATATGCAGCAGTGACACAGGATGGCATTAAAAGAAGGAAGGGCCAAGAGGATATCTCGACGCCGAATTACTGAATGGGGTATGACTGTGTAACCATAGATCCCAATGTCAAAAGATCAATATGACAGCTCATTTTCCACGACCTAAAAGTGGTACGAGAGAACCATATAGCCTCTGATGTCGTCATTCATCCAATGGATAAGAAACCAGGGACGCATCTCTGTACGTACTCTTTTTTTTCTTCTGCAAAGAGCCGCATTGTCACGGCTTAGATGGACGAACGGAATCCCCTCCGCTGCCTTGAAGACGTACTTCTGCATCCACCCTTCATCAGAGGGGCCGCAAGAATGTATAAGCGAATGTAAGATATTCCGCGTAAGCTTAAAAAGTGAATTGAGTTGGTTTAGAAGATTGTATCAACCAATTTATCAGAACTCTTATCGTTCTAAAAGCGTGACGATGATTGTTTATTGTATGTTAAGTGCCTTGAGGCAGTTCAAGTATTCCCACGGCAAAGAAAAACAATAAACAGTCACAGTATTTGAGATGTATTCTCATACATCTAAGATACCATTCATTATCCCATGGTCACGGGGCCCGCCGATAACCGAACCGCTGGTTCAAAACACCAACAAGGCGAACGTAAGGATCGTCACAGCACAGTCCATTGCTTCTCCGACTTTCGCAGTATTCCACGTCTCGGGATTTTGCAGAGCCTCTTGAGCCGTGTTCAGGTGAACCTATGCCGTTGACGGGCCGGTTTATGACGCTTGAGGAGCTGGCTGTTTTGCGCGGTCGTTTAGATGATTGACGGCGTTCTCAACTGGTGAGTGGTTTATGGTAGCACCTCCAATGCTGGATTTGACGTACAGGATATTATTCGGCTGCCTTGATTCTACTTTTTCCCCAGGAAAGATTTATGTATGCCTGTAAAATGAAATTGATTGGTGAATTACCTGTATTATTATACAAAAAGTAAGAACTTATTCGGAAAATTCGCCTCTAATGGGTTGTGATAAACCATGAAATGCCCAACCTACCTACGCTATGATATGATTCCCAATGAAAGTTTATGCTAGAACCGCCAGAAAACAATAACAAGTGTTCCTACGCTTTTACTTAGCGCATGCACTGTTAGCACGCTCTCTTTCTTTCGTCGTGTACCTCCCATTTGAATTATCCACAGCGCTGCCTCTTCTTCTTAGACCACTTGCTTTACGCATTCTCACGATTTGATAGCCCCGATCAAGCTCCGTTTCTACAGCGCACCTAACCTTGAGGGCCCCCACTGCGGGCCAGACACTCCTTTCTCCTCTCAGCATCCAATAATCAAGACTAGCTTGAGTTGGGGTTTCGAGCAAGCGAATGAAATCACCTGCAGAAAGTTCCGGGACCAGGGTAACGGACGCTGCAGGTATATGTTCATCCACCAGGAATCGTCGAATAGAAAGAGGAAGACATCCGAGGCTATCAAGCTGCTGTAGGCGATGATGAATTTCCATAGTAAATAATCTGAGGAGACCACCAGTCAATGAAGTTCGACCTCGGCGAGCATGTACTGGCGAAGGTCCATGCATATCGCTTTGAAGAAATGGGACCAAATATGGTCGAGCTTGAGAAACAATGAAGTGGTTCACATTGAATAGTTCTGCTACTCGAGACATTGGCGAGTCTCTATCAGTGTATGAGGCATGAGTCCAAGGGTGAAAAGTCGTGTCGGTAGCAGCAGACCAGGGTACAATGGCACCAGATGCATCTTTACAACGCAAAGTGATTGAATGTCCATAGAGTGAAGGAGATGAGGCATTCGATGCTAGTGCGGCCGACCATATCAACTGTAGTGGATTAATTTAATTTACTGCAAGAATCATTATAAAGGAAACTTACCACATTGGGAGCCGTAAGATAATTCAATAGGTTTGGTACACCACTTTTTCCAGTAGTGGCGACAGTGATATTAAGCACACGCTTGGTCCTAACGTAAGCTTCTTCAAATGTTAAATCGCCAACATTGGCTCGCACACACTCTTCTAGTACCGTGACGTCGAGAAAGTAGCCCTCTTTCCAAAATCTCCGGACTCTCCGGGCAAGAGTGCTGAACCAGTTGTCGACGAAAGGTCCGTTCTTCCCATTTTCTCGTACGGCACTTTTCCCAGCGAATGCAGAGAGATCTATGCTTTCCCCATTTAGAAACTGTGGCAATTCGTCTTCTGTATGGATTCCAACCAGTGCGGCAATCAAGGCTCCCGTCGCTGTTCCAGTCACAATCCTGGGAAGCAACCCGCGCGAGAACAAGGCCTTTACCACACCTAGGTGGCATAACCCGAATATCGAGCCACCTTGGAGAACCAATGTACTCCTCCCAAATGCCTGCCTGGTATCATGTAACAAATCTAGCTTTGCTTGGCTGCTGAAGCCCTGGATGCCTCCACTGCCATCGGCTCCAGGAGAGGTCGTCAACTTGGTTACATCAACAATAGCCTGCGCAACTTGCGTAATGTAGTCTTCTATTAACAGCTTTGTCCCAGCAAAGGCCCGATTGAATAAGCGGGGAGTGGAGATGTTGCCCAAGTTCCGAACCAGACCGGATCGGAGGAGGTTGACCAGTTGCAGAGTATCCCCTTCCTCCCGCGCAACTATTATGGATTGCAAACGCTCATGGATGAGGCGGTAATCGTAGTACTTGGAGGTAGGATTCTGTCGCCTGCAGAACAACACGTCAGTAATGCCAATTGAGTTGATCCAATGTTGAGACGGACCATAAATCGTTCCCTAACAGCACATCGAGTTGAAACGCTGCCTCTTCCCATTCTTCGTATGTCTTTGCATCGCGGAGGATGTCGAACCAAAGGCGGGCTGGCTTTTTACGCGTCAACCAACTTATTATTTGCTATCCCCAATTGATCAGTTTGGAGTAATTTTGAGGGATCGGGTCGTGTTGACTAACCCTCCACCAGAAGGAAGCAACTTCCACTATCATCACCCAGATGGCCGTAAGGGGTGACATAGTGCAAACACAATGGGGGTGTGAGGTTTGGCTTTATGTCATGACTGCCCGAATTCTATATCTGAACTCAAAAGCAAAGGGCCGAAATCGAGCTTCCATTAAGGTAAAGTTCGAAGTCTAACGCTGCAGGTGTTTGGTTGAGGTTCATCGCATGTGATGATGATCGGGTGGTGGAGTAGGTACAGTATGCATGCTTGTGCAGCCTGGGGTACCGGTACAGTTCTGCAAAGTTAATCTGACCCCTGAAAGAACAAGGCCTGGAAATCTCCACAATACAACCCCTCCTGCAACGACTACGACTTCACCAGAGAAATGTGAACAAGCACGGGTTGGACCAATAATTATTGTCACCCTAACTTTTATGTTATCACTGAAATTGACCGTAATTAAAATATTGGTCAAATTTCTGAAAATTTTGATGTTACCAACTTCGAACAGCTTCAATTATCGCCAGCTGTTGTGAGCAATTGAATGGCGCTGGAAACAACTTCGACATTGTAATCAGCATGCCATTCTTCATCCTTCTTGCTCCATAATAAATGTTATAGTAATCCCCTGTTTTTTATAGATGAAATTAATCTCTATTTTCTAGATATGTTTCTACAAAAATTCCTAAGTTAGAAGGTATATTTTTAAGTGAGTTATAGAGTGTTAGAAACGAACGCCTAGTAGTAGTATACTTTGTAACATTTGCTATTCACTAGGTAATCAGTTAAATATGTCATTCACTAAGAGTCTGTACTAGAGCGTGGTATAATAAGTTACTGGAGGAAGGTTTACAGGCCTTCTTTTATAGATCAGTAACAAATGGGCATCCAGTGATGTGCGACTCGCCTCATCAGTATGATTTCCCTATATCTATAACGGGCCATATGGATAAATGCAGCTATGCGATCCTTCGCATGACTTCATCCAATCCTTTGGCAGTATAGTGCTTTAGCGTTACACTTTTCTTGCAGGCATTCATTACGAAACAGGCAGCATCCGCATGTGTGTCGAAAGAAATTATCGACTATAAGAGGCTTACTTTAAATCCAACACCGATACTGGACAAGTGGTCATTTGCTCTCAGAAGCGTTGTCGTCGGCTTAAGCGATCAACAAATTATCACTGGGTTTTCTATCATAATTGCCGGACTCAGTCAACTACAGAGAGGAATAGGTGCTTATCATTGGCAATCCATTGTCAACCTTGCGTGATTCTCGGCCATGACGCACGTTTTGACACTGACAACTCGCAGACAAGAGTTTCGCTCAAACGTGCATCTTCGGATGATTCGAGTTATTGGGATTGGACTTCTTGTAGTAATGCTGATATGCGTGTTGGTTCCTGTTGGCTATTTGGCTGCTCCCAATCCACCTCCACAAAGCTTCCCAGCCTGGTGTCTATATCATCCACACTTGAACTGGAGTAGTAACGACTTTCAAGGCGACGACCATAATCAAGGGACGGGTAAATGGAACTATAACTGGTTCTATGTTGTCTTCACATCGGGGCTTCTCGTCTACAGCTTTTGCACTCGCCTTATTCTCTTGTCGAATAATATCAGTTTATCTCATCACGTACTGATGATCCCCTATGGTTACCCGTGGGGATTTCTCGAACAAGTGTCCTTCTTGAACCAAAATTGGAAACCTTGCCATCCAGCGAGTCGCATCGCGAAATTAGCGTACGGAAAACTACTAAACTCGATGTATGCAACTGTGCTTGTGTTGTATGACTTGTATAGCTCTAAACTCTGGGAGGTCAGTTTCCCTTCCCACCATTACAGGAAACCAGGTCTAATTCCAAAAGATTTCATGGATATTCTCTGCTTTAGTATGGGGAACAATAAGAATGATATACTCCAGAAGACCCATAGATATCACCCAATTTACCACATCTTACGACTATGAGAGACTTCAAGATGGCCAGAAATCGTGGGGATTCGGCCAGGTAACTGCTTTGGGTCTTTTTATATGCCCACTTATAAGTTTTAATGGTCCGCATTTTCATTCTTCGTCTCATTTGAATCTAACATCTGCCAGGGGCGTTTTTCTCATACCAGCACACTTTGTCCTACGGAAATCTCGTCGAAGAACTGTCACCACTAGATCCGTTGTTAGGTCCATTCTTTCAACCGGCTGGATCCTATATTACAAGAGAAACAGACCCTATGCCCGTTAGGTCTCGAATTCGTATAGACCCGTGCTACAGAAAGATTCTTTGGGTTGCATATTCTCAATCTATCCTGATTCTGACCCAGTTAGTTTATCGATTCATTGATGGATATTGGCTAGCTGCTCTCATGACGAGAACAGGAACTCAGCTTGTTGTACGTGAATTTCTGTTGGATTGGACTGTCAAATTTCTGATATTGTGGTCGTCTACTTTCGTTTTTTTAGACGAAGGTCTCCAGCGAAAATGGAAAGCTTCTAGGCTCGGTAATATGATTTCCAAACGGAGGGCTTCAAAGGTTGCATGGATTTTGTTTGAAGTGCTGATCGTCATTGGGTCTCTGTTGTTTTCCACCACAATACACGCATACGGAGGAATACTCACAAGGACGGTGGAGGTATCAAACAGATCTCCATCGGAGGCTTGCTACTTTTGTGCATAAAAGAGGGAGTTTATTTGGGTCATATGACAGGGCATTGGTTCAATTTTTGGAACTGGCCAATCATAATACTAATCTAAGGAGGCATAGGTTCTGTCAACTCTCAGTTTGCAAAAAACTGGATGTCTTGAATACACCAAGATATTTAGATACACATAGTAGTCCCACTTGTTTGCTCAATATTCGACAATTTGCTCGTAGTTATTTTTCCCGAGAGAAGTTGATAAATTCAGTAAAATGGGGGAGCAGGCAAATCGACTTCCCCCCTCGCCTAATATTAAAATAATAAAATTCACCGCCCCCCTAATTGAGTGTCTATTTGGGCGGTGGGGTTTCTTTTTTCTAGTACTGAGGTAACAAACCTTTATACTCGCGTATATACTTTAAGACGTACAGTACTTTTACTTCTTATATATAGTAGTCTCCTAATACTTAATTATAATAAAATCAAGCCCTGAGTACTAGATAAATGAGAGCTTAACTATAGGCCTTGTTTTAAGAAGCAGAAATTCAGTGGGCACAATAATTTTCCATTGGAAATTTAACACAATGGATGCGCACTGACTTCTTCTGTCATGAAGTCGAGATGGATGCTCTACTTTGAACTTGTATTTTTGGATTCTTGAAACCCGCTGTTTCAACCATAAATCTTAAGGGGGAATTGCATGTAAACAAGGGTTGTCGAGAGAGAACCGGAGATGCTCAGCGGACCTAGATCCGCCTAACTAAATCACAGGAGGACTGTAACATTGAAAGAACAGGAGTGCTGAGAGTGCCACATTCTCGTTAGTTAACCAGGTCACTTACAGTACTCAACCTGAGCTTTTACATTCCATGATAGAATACTCTCACTAAGCACGCTATATTTCGGTCCCAGTGAAATAGCCTGGGAATTCCTCAGCCACTCCAATTTTGAATGCCCAGCGACAGACGAGCCAACCCACAATGCTACTGTCAAAGCTCTTAAAAAAATTCCAAAGTCCTGAGATCAGTTCCCACCGCCAACGAAGAGTCACCAGAAAACATTCTGCGCATCCTTGATAGTGCATGAAAAAAAGGCATCGTTGAAATTTTCACAGTCCTAGGACTCACGCCAGTAACAGATCGCGTGTTAGGTCTTGCGGGTATAGCGGAGATAGCTTCCACGCTGAGACTAGGGCATTACCTGAATATGAGAGGGCAGGTTTTATCACACGGCAAGATGAGAATGGGGAGATTGCACGATGGAACACTAATTCGCATTCGTTTTCACCAACGGCTTCAGACTTTGATCTTAATGGTGGAACGAGCGCTTTCGCAGAAGATGGTGGTATCAAGAAGAGCACGGTCAAAATTTGGTAGCCAGGTAGTTTGACAGACTGTTTTCATCATATGAAATGGCAGTTTTGGTGAAGGTATCTCTGCCTTGGATCCTTATCTCAAATCAATAAAAAAAAACCCACTACAGCCACGACCAACCCTCCTTACCGCGCAGATTTCCCCCACAAACGCGACCCAACCCCCTCGCTTAGCGCACCAAACCAAACCAAAACACGTAACCACCACCATCACCTTCACCTTTTCCCTGCGTCCCCTCCATCCCCACTCCTTCTCCAACAAAATAAAGAAACACTCAACAACACACCCAAAAAATATAAAAAACCATTATTTCCGAGCAGCAAGAGAGTTCGGGCCCGCCCGCCCTGAGTCTCTCTACACATGTCGAAACCAATTCCAGTCGTGCTTTTCCTCCCACTGGGGAATGGGAGCGTTCCACTTTGCCAGGTGGCCGATCTGGGAGGCCCACGCTGGAGCCTATTGGTGAGTGCTGGGGGGCTTATTTGGGGCTTTAGTGTTGATGGGGGGAAAGGGTGATATGGGGATGAGGGGAGAGGGGAGGACCCGCTTTGAGGGGTGAGGGTGAACTTAGATAGCAGATATGTCTTGATTATGCCTCTGTGCTTTCTCATAACAGGTGGTGGTCATTCGCAGTTTCCTGCAGGACTATGTAGAGGCGCATTATTGAACCATTGGTAAGTCAACTCGAGGGACCTACTTGAGGACTGCTATCCCACAATCACTTTGCGTACTCGCACCACATGTGCCAGATACGAAAATGATTTCGCCCCTAAATCCTCCGGACATATTCAAAGCTCCGATATAAAGGATCCGGCATTTTCACTCACCAAAATCCAACCTTAGACACCAACAACAGCCCTGCAAACCCCAACAAAGCACTTCAGGATTTGTTCACACAACCCCTTTGTTCCCTTTATAAGAGCATAACAAGAACGAGTAGACAGCAATGTTTGGAATCCCATAAACCAAATGTACATCCTATGTATTTTCCAAGTCGCTAGTTTCAGAGACGTCTAAAGTTAGTGATTTCATAGCGAGTTGTAAGTATTAGTATACCAACCTCACTTCCAAGATCGACCACTAAAACATCATGTCTGGAAACCAGCAACATAACGAGATACCTCTCAGTTTAGAACTAACCCGCAACGAAGCACCTCTTCTACTAGAACCCCCTCTCCTAACAACCACCGAAATAATCTCCAGAGGTCGACAGCGAATCGCAGCTCTCCAAGCAGCAACAACATCATTCAACGACCAAACAACAAAGCTGCTCTCCTCAAATACGCCCTCTCTCCTCTGGAACCCCCCTCTTACCCCACGCCCTTCGCATAAGCCTTCTCCCAATCCAGATCCACCAGCAAGAAACATCCGTCGAACCCGTCGAGGACAAAGAGACCCCGAATTAACAATCGAGAGCTCGGAGTTATGGTCTCTCCCAATTGTAAGTACCAGTACCCGTACCCGTAGCCAAGTCGAACCACAAATTCAAAGTCCAGTATCCCAAACAACTCAAGGACCAAGATTCGCGTTGGAATTCTCACTCTCTCCCCTCTCTCCCCTCAACCCCCCACCCCCCACAATCCACTC